CTCTCACAAAAGTGATGAACTTTCTCGATTTAGATTCCATGTCCATAAGAAAACCAACAGCGCTCGGTCGCCATATTTTTGGAAAGAACTAGTGACTGAAGTAGCCTCAAGTCATTTAGCGCGATATTATTGTTTGGAATATGCGCAAAAATATACAATATTAAGCCTCATTTACAGATGGTTCGGAAAAAGAGTGGCGCATTCTAACATTACGATAGCTCTAACCTTACCTTTAGGAGACAAATAAAAACATCCTCTTCGAATTGAACCACAACCAATTTTGGGCAGCTAACTACAGACTGCATCAAGGAAATTCTATAAGGAGATGGAGCAGGTGATGGATCGTTTAGTCACAACCCAGACTAATATAGCCACATAACGGAGTCTCACGGGATTCTTTTCATCAGTTCGAAAACACGAGGACAATCCGGGAGGATAGTCAGACTTCTCACCAGCCAATCGACACAAGCCTGATTCAGCTCAGGTAAGTTATACTTGGCAGCGACCGTGTGAAGACGGATAAGGGACTCCAACTTCACATAACGACAAAGGAAGTTACTACAGAGGCGTCGAATCTCGTCCATTTGAAACCACGTCGCGGCTGCAAGAATACCGACCACGGTCTACGTATGGACAGTAAGTAACCATCTGAATTTTACTTTATCAGTAATAGTAAAATTGTCACTGTAAAATGAGCCAAAAACAATGTGTAGTGACTCTTGAGTAATATTTTCATCGAGAAGATTGAGAGTTATTCGTCTGTCACCGCTCTCCTTCCAACCACCGTTGAAGAGAGCAGCGAAAAATGGAGACTGCTTGAGATAAATTCGATGAAGTGGCCATTCGTGACCAAGAGCACAGATTGTGACATCACTGCCCTCGCCCTTGGAAAATAATTCCTGATAAACGTGTTCATACGTTGAGCGAATGCGTTTTCTATGTTTGAGCAAATCAAAAACAAAACTCAAACCGGGACTTTTGGAATCCTAGGAAATGTAGCACTCACGGTCCTTTACGCAGCCGAACTTACATTAAAGGTCCTCGTAGTTCATCTTCGGCATCTATATTGCGCTTTCTTTTTTTAACAGGATGCGTCGAGGACACAACAGAAGATAATAGGTTACCCATCAGAAGGTATCATACAAAACCAGCAGCCCAATACAATAGATGGCACCACTGCTTTCACTTAACGCGCTAATCTAGTTGATAAATAAAACAATTAAAATAAAAAATCTGCTTTAATGGTTATTAAAAAGTAAGCCTAACTTAGCGCAATCTTTGCTTGAGCGTGTTACCTATTTTATTGTCAAAATAGTTTGTGGCAATTGGTTCGATACTTAAGGAATTAAAAACAGGCGCCTAAAAGGACTGTAGAAGTACAAACAAATACTAAGTCACATATAACAAGAGATTCCTTAATTTAAAAATGAAATTTTGAGTTGCATATGGTTGTGGTCAAAACAGGCTCTAGACTTAAATACCTGTTTACTTAAACCCAGTTGGTCTATTATCTCAGACACTAACCGGAGTTGTAGCTGTAATATATACGAGTTTGTTTAAGTATGCTTTTACAGGTTAAAGGTGGGAACGTAAATCACGTGCGTTGAATCCTTCTAACTGATATCTACTCGCCTCATTTGCATCCCATTCCCCATCCTTCCCAATAACAATGCCTAATAATCGTCTAAAACCAACTGTCTCTTGAAGTTTGAAGATCAGAGACCAGAGAGCAGACAGGTAGCTCTTATAGTAGCCTTCCGAGACTTCCCATAGAGTGGAAGAAGGCAGTGGAGGGAACAGAGCAAACGGGCCTGAGCATGGCCCGAAGGCCATGACCGCTAAACATCATGTGGCCATGTATGTAGAGTATTACAGGAATAACTATAATACTTTTTTGTGTGGCCACCTGATGTCCGGTGGTTACTTGAAGATTCTTGTGCCCTTGTGCGCGTAGGCTAGCCCTCAGGCCAAACTAACTCAGACTTAATACCTTCGTCATTTCTGGAATACATGCATTCAACTCCACTTACAGCCTTCTTTAAGTCGGTGGTCTGATCCAAAGATTAGATTACTAAATTAAGAACAACCTAAGCGCCAGAGTAACCGACAGTATCACAGGCCGTCAAGTGGGCGCATGCATACCTTCCCACCGTACTTCAATTAACATTATTGAATTATCTATCACTTGCTCAAGCAATGCTTGAACACCTTCAATGATGCATAACAACCCACCCCGGTTCTTTAACCTCTGCAACCAGCGCTTCCGCTTGATGAGCCACACCTAAGCACACTGGATCATGTTTCCATACCACCGTCTTCAATCCGCTGAGGCTCGATGTATTTCGACACATCTACAGTCCCAATAAGGAAAAAAGGAACAACCCGCCTGACAGAACCCTAATATCCCCAATTTCCGCCCACTTAATTTTTCAACGAACCTACTCTTTGCTGCACTCCCTCAGCAATGATGAAGCTCTAATCATCGATGGATGACAATGACCTACCGCCCAAACAACCCAAAAACAATCCCGACCGAGTTTGTGAACGCATGTCCCAAGGTGGAGCAAATGCTGCCAAATGTCTTCCCTTCTCGTTGGTGCAGAAAAACCCAAGTCATATTAGCCACCTTACACCTTTATCACGATTCTCCTACCTTACGATAAATATGAACGCATAGTATCATAAAAAGCTGCATTTAGGATTTCCTTCAATGGTGCTTAAAGTGGCCCCAGAACCTAATTAGCTTGTGAAAGGTCCACCACACTCCACTCTTTGTCCTGGTCCTTCTTCTTTTCCACCAATTCCGCACTCTTAGGTCCGAGGACTGCACGGCCCACGCGCTTCGCACATACCAGGTGGTCACGCAAAGTTTGAGCCACTCGTTTAAGTGCTGCATCATCCACCGTGAAGAGACGTTCGCGCTGGTTCTGCCGCTCCTCATCGTCGATACCCGTCAGAAAGACATGCAGACCACGAGAACCTGCTGAGACTGGACTATCCAACTGTTCAACGAAATCAAAGATATTAGCTATAAAGTCCCCGTCAATTTCGGTTCGGTTAGAGTTCGAAATTATAGCCATTTAGTAAAGATGGCATGAGTTGAGCTCCATGTATCGAATTGAATACTTTAAGCGATTATTGTTCCGCAATCAATTTTTCCTGCTTAGAAGCGCTATTCTTAATTCCCACTAATGGCCACGTTTACGCGGCAAATCAAATTAGTCTTGTTGGAACCTTTTCATCGTCAACAAAAAAGAATCGAAACATTACCTAAGTCGATACACTATGTTTGCATTCGCGGTGACAATTTCAAGAAGG